TATCCGGTATACCATATAAGACTGAATTGCAATAATCCAGGCGGCTGATGACTAATGCTTGAAGTAACATCTTTGCAGCCTTAAATGATAACAATTTACGTATACGTCTTATATTATAGATATAATAAAACGCTGACAGGCATGTCTTGTTAATATGTGTTTGAAATTGAAACTTAGAGTCAAACCAAACAGCGGCATTTCTACCTTCACTTACAGACGACACGGCAGTATTGGCAACTATGAGGCTACCAGTTTGTACTTTGGAGAGCTGTTGGCGGGACCCAATCAGCATGAACTCAGTGTTGTCTTCGTTAAGCTTGAGCTTATTAGCAACCATCCACGCTCCTCCAGCCCTGATGCACTGCTCCATGGCACATCTGGCGTCCGTCTCACCAACCTCACTGTCCGCTTTGAATGAGAGGTACAATTGGTGTCGCGTCAGCATATGCATGAGCGTGGGGCAAATGAACGACCTTTTTATAGCGAAAGCTCTCGATTTCATCGGCCCTAGCACATGTACTTCTTTGCCTCCAAGTCCTACAGTTGAACCGCTCGTATCTCTGCCTTGTACACCTCAACCTTCTATTGCATCAGCTATACTGTTACCTACTCTACCCGTCAGTCCAATCGCTGAGAAATCGCCGAGTGTTCACACGACAAAGCTCGCACCTCCAGTATCGTCTACTCCAAGGCCAAGACCGACCGAACCTAAAGTCAGCTTGTGCATTGAATACCCAAGAAAAACTATCAATTAGAAACTTGGTCCAGACGAGGAAGCTATTGCCAAGGCTTTGGCTCAAGGTCCCTGTTATGATTGTAGGGACACAACAAACGGCTCAAGTAAATCAAACAACAACATGGTTTTAATAGTCCATGAACGCGCTAGCACGAGGGAGTGCGCCAGGTCACATGACTCTGACGTAAATAACAATGACATCATAACATCTTCCCCTTTATAAAAGACAGAAAACCTAATGAGAAGTCCTTGAAAGCAATAAAAAAACAACAAAAAGAAGTGTCTCTAAAACACTGTTCACAAAGTTCCTATGACGTGTAATCTTGAAAACTGACCGGCGGCCTAACTGTACGGCCACTCCTTTTTAAGGTAGGACTGGACGCCATAGGGACAACAGTTGTCTTAGGATTAACTGCACCAGGAGTTGCCTCTCCAGAATTTCCTAGGGGTGTGGCTCGCTGGATAGGTTGCTGTTCCTTGTTGGTATCACGTGGTTGCTCAGAACTAGCCAACAAGTTTGCTGCATGTGGAACCAAACGTAACTGCCTAACATTTCTTGGATAGGTACGGTTACCAGATACAACAGTATAGGAGCGTGGTCCGATCATCTTCTTACAAACTGCTTCAGTCTAGGTGTTCTTATTTGGCTTCTTCATATCTAACAGTCGACCAGGCTGTAGTTCAGGCAATGCTTTTTCTTTGAGGTTATAGTAGTAAGCCTGCTTTTGTCTGGAGGCCATTAGCTTTTGCTGCACATCCATTGGAGGGACTGTTGCTGCTTCAAGCAGTCTTGGTGTTGGCGGTAGCAGGTTGCGTGTTCTTCTGCTGAACACCCTTTGAGCTGGAGAGGAGCCAGCTTTAGTAGGTGTATTGCGATAGTCTAAAAGGGCAAGATATGGATCAAACTTTCCAAGAGCTGCCTTCTTCATCATATTTTCTCAGATGTTAACT